TTGGTATATTTTATGATGAAGAACGTTTAAACAATTATAGTCAAATGAAAATGGAGATATAATGATGGTGACATGTAAAAATATTTGAGATAAAATACTTGTTAATATGAACTATGTTTGTTGACTGTGGAAGAGATGCACGAAAGGTTATTTTTGGAACCAACTGATACACTTTCTATAGCATGTAAAGAAGGATGATGTATTTGTTTTAAATTAATTTTTTAATTTTTTTTATTAAAAACAGAAAAAAAATTCAGGTAGTTCTCAACTTACAACTGTTTGTTTAGTGACTGTGCAATGCTTTATATAAATATTTTCAATAAACTGGTAGAAAACAGTTCATTGAGTGACCATTTGAAGTTAAAATGGCACTGAAAAGTGTGACCTCTGACCATTTTTTACACTTATGACCTTTGCTGCATCCCCATGGGCACGTGATCAAAATTCAGCCACTTGGCAAATGGCTCATATTTATGACGGTTGCAGTGTCCCGGAGTCATGTGATCCCCTTTTGCGACCCTTTGACAAGCAGATTCCAGATTCACTTCACTACCATGTTAGCAACTGCAGTGATGAACTTAACAATTGCAGCACGAAACAACGTAAAGCAGGGCAAAGTTCCCTTAACAAATGTCTCGCTTAGCGAGCCCATGGATTTTGGACTCGATTGTGGTCGTAACTCAGGGACTACCTTTGGAGTTTTACTGACTGTAGGTCAATTGCTCTGGGATCCTTTCTTGCTAAACAGTGCCTTAAAATACTTGCAATAAACCTATAGAAAAATAAAGCTGGCTGAGGAGAATTAGGAAGCTCTCCAAACTCAAGGGAAGTCGGAAATTATTCTTGCAAGGGTGACAGACAGTCTTTCTCTTACCTGTTTCGTGATCTGTAATTCTCTCACTTTCGACAGGAAACTGGATGAAAACCTGCTCTTCTTCTTCTTCTGGATTGGAAGACTGGTCTGGTTTGGGCACCAAGAGTCCCTCTTAGGATTCAAGAGAAAGGGAGGAAGAGAATTATTTGGGGTACAAATTCTGGTGAATTCTTAGCTTCCCGGGCCCGTCATTCATTTCAGTTAGATCTCTACCACTTCAATGAGCAGCTAAGGTCAGCTCCAAATAATGCACCCATTACAAACTGACAATTTACAGCTACATTTTGGAAGGAATTTATGAGGGCCACCGGGTCCTCGCAGGCGTTTCATCCAAGCACCAACGGGACTGCAGAGAGAACCAACGCCATGGTGGAACATGACATAAGGTGTTACATCGACTATATCAGCAATTGGACTGGGCAGAGCTGCTACACCCCAATAATTTCAGGCTTGACAGCTAAACTAGCTGGTAACTGTAGATCAGGAATATCAAACTCGATTTCATTGAGGGCTGCATCAGAATTGTGTTTGACCTTGGGGAGGCCGGGGCGTGTGGCCAGGTTGGGTGTGGCCAGCTCGACATCAATCATGTTGGGAGCACCTGTGGTGGCCCGAGCGCTGTGCCTGTGAAAATGGAGCTTGGGAGGGCCGCGTGGCAGAAGCACCATGGGCCGCTCCTTTGCTGTTTTCAAGGGCGGCCTCAAGTACCAGATCTAAGCACTCCGCAAGCCGGATCTGGCTCACGTGCCTTGAGTTTGACACCCCTGCTGTAGATAGTCCTTGACATACGACATTAAATGTACCTGGTAATTACAGTCCCTAACAGTCAGAATGCTGGTCCTCATGCAAAGGAATAAATTTTAGACCTTTTGTCACAGTGGTCATTAAGCGAACAGTAAAGCGGTTGTAAAGCGAAAGCAACACAGGCACAAAGCCATTGTTCTAGGGGCCAGTTTTCGTCAGAAATTGGTTCTGGCAAAAATATCATAAAATATGGACATGCCCACAATGCATCCTGTGATCGCAGGAAGTGGCAATTATTGGAACCAGGTGACAAGCAACATTTGGGGGAAGTCTTCATAACCTTGAACGGTCACTAAGTGAATGGCGGTAAGCTGAGGACCACCGGTATCTTGTTTGTAAGTCTTTTCAATCTTTGGATGCTTGCTTGTTGCCAGATTGCTGGTTTTGCCCTCTAAATTTCCACACACCAATACAGGAAGTCCTCATGGGAAGGACTCGATAAATGGGGAAAAATGCCAAATCAGCCTAAACATCTCTCTGACTTTGCAACCAACCATAATAGTGAGATTACTTCTGTTTTGAATAGATCAGGAGTGTCAAAATCAAGGCTTAAATCTCGCCTGCAGATTTAAATCTGGCTGGCCTGGAAATAGCCTGCCCGCGGTGCCTCTGGCAGCCAAAACAGGTTGCAGGCGGGCCCTGTTTTGGCCAGCGGAATTATTTATTTAGTTATTTATTTGGTTTGTATGCCGCCCACTCTCAAGAGACCCAGGGCGGCTTACAGGTAAAAAAGGAAGGGGGGAACATACAAAAATAAAAAACAACATTAAAAATTCCACAACATTCATAACTTAGGATGGGGCTGGATAAATCAACAGCCTCAGGCCTGCCNCCTATGAAGCGGTATATAAGTCTAACTGCTATTGCTATTGCTATTGCTGTAACCTAAGATTTAGTATATGAGATTTAGTAGTAGTTTGGTACATAAAATTCAGTATATTTTTTTGATATCACAACTGCTATAATGGGAGATTGGCATAACCAACTAATTAGTTATAGCCATATGAGTACATAATTGTCAGAATGACCAGCAATAACCTCAGTGCTTAAAGCCTGAAGTTACTTCAGGAATAACTAGGTTTTCTCTTTCATGCCAACTACTCTTATGGCCTTAAGTTAAAATAAACTCAACTGATCCATGTTCTTTCTATAACCTATAAGGGAATGACCTCTGATGGATTGCCAGCAGAGGTCCAGAATATTAGAAGAACCTTTTACTGCTCTTCAAGCAAAAAAGAAACTAAACTTAGGACATGAAAATTCCTACTGTGCATCTTCAGAAAATGCGTAGGTAACTCATGAACATCCATCTGCTGTGATCATATCAACAATTGATTAAGGTGTGAACAAGAGTTTCTCAAAGTTTTTGTAACCGACTTCCTTTCTGAAGTAGAATTCAAGGCACAAATCAATCTTGAGGCTCAAAATTTTGAGAGTGTAAAAGGATAGAGATTCCTACTTATCGCTTCATGAAACATGATTTTGGATGTGACTCAGCCAAGAAATTAAAAGACACTTGCTCCTGGGGAGGAAAGCTATGGAGAATCAAGACAGCATACTAAAAAGCAGAGACATCACCCTGCCAACAAAAGTGCATATAAACTAGGCTGTGTTTTCCCAGTTTCAATGTATGGCTGTGACAGTTGGACCATATGGAAGACTGAGTGCCAGAACTATAGTGGCTGAAGAGGATTCCTGTGAGTCCCTTGGACTGCAAGTCGATCAAACCGGTCAGTCCTAGAGGAGATCAACCCTGACTGCTCTTTAGAAGGCCAGATCCTGAAGATGAAACTTAAATACTTGGCCACCAAATGAGAAGGAAAGACTCACTGGAGAAGAGCCTAATACTGGGAAAGATTGAGGGCAAAAGAAGAAGGGGACAACAAAGAAGGAGGTGGCTGGATGAAGTCACCAAAGCAGTAGGTGTGACTTTGCAATTAACAACAATAACAACAACAACAACAACAACAACAACAACAACAACAACAACAACAACAACAAC